GATTGAGGGGAGTTTGAGGGGCTGCAAAGGGAGGGAGGCGGGGTGAGATGGCTCCCAGGGTGGCGTGGGGGTGTGGGCAGAGGAGGGCTGGCGCACTGCCTGAGCCCTCACGTGTGCATGCATGTACCACATGCACACTGCTCAGACATGTGCACACACATCACATGCACACACACTTGTACCACATGAGCCCTTGCTGTTCTTGGTCGGCTCTCTCATGCTTCTGCTCTCCCTGGCCTGGCTGTTCATGTTCATGGTTTGGAGAAGGTGTTTTATTTAAACCTGCTTAGGCCAGGCCACAGAAAGTGCTTAGTGATAGCGATTGGGTGGCAGGGGTGGCGATCAGTAACACCCTCTCCTCCCCTCCTGTGCTTAGAGCCAGCTGGGTATAAATTCTCTGGGGCAGATGGAGATCAAGATCCCAGCTCTTTCATAAGGCAGACTGGAGAATGCTGCTTACCGTGTGTTCCTTTGACTCTAAGAGGCACCGTGAAGAAATATCACAGCCAGTTAAACTATGCCATGCCATCTGGTTGAAAGATACATCTCAATTTCAGAGATGTTAAAAATGTGTAAAAGGTACACCTTTGATACGTGAGATGTGGTATGGAGCACATTTCCCATCTTCCCCTGAATTGGACCCACCCACTCCCAGGCTGAGCCAGAGATCCAGGAGCCGGCCCCACCCAGCTTCCTGCGGGACGGGGGGCAGACCAGGGTGCACCCTCCTGGTAGGCAGGAGACCTGTGGGAAGCCACGTCACACCAATTCAAGCAGGTTATCCCTCCTCCCTCCCAATTCTGTTAGGTAAGTCTCTTCTTCCCCGCCCCCAAGGGGAGGAATGAACGAGAGGGTTGGCGAGGTCAGGAGTGTTGCTCTGCCGAAGTCTGTCACCTTAGAGGCACACGGCCAGAAAGTGGAGGACCTCGCCCCACTGACACTTAACACAGAGGCCTGGCACACAGTAGGTCCTCACTAAATAGTATCAGCAAGGTGTGAGGCACCAGGTAGAAGTACAATATACAGCTGGGGAGTGAAATGAACTTCTCCAGGCAGTGAGGCTGCTGACTGGTCTGACAAGGCGTTTCTTTGCTCATTCGGTGAGCAAGTACTGAGCACAAGCACCTGCTAGGGATGGGCACCAGGAACGTAAGACCTGGCTACCTAAGGGCGCAGTGAGGTAAGTAAGAAGCATGAGAGGCGCAGCCACGGGGATACAGGCTGGGTGTTGTGGAGTCCAGTGCAGGGCTTTGCCTGACCGAGTCCCTGGGGAGGTGTGAGAAGGCCCCCAGGGGAAAACCAGGTCGTGAGTCCACTGTCCTTATTAGCCAGTGACTGAGTTCTCGACTCAGTTCCTTACATCACCCCCATCATACTGCTCAGGATGTGAATAAAACTCCTTACCGTATGCACTCTCGGAATCTCTTTGTACCCTTTGCCATAGAAACTTGAGTGACTGCCAGTATCTTGAAAAAAACCCTGCTAGCCTCTCAGGACACTCCCCACCCCACCCCACATTAGCAGTGGGCCCCTGGGCTCTCGGGCTGAGAGAAGTCAGAAACTCCTGTTCATGGACCACCTCGTGGTGCCCGCTCGCATCTTGTGAACAGATCATGGGGCATCTCAAGTCTGCTCGTCTAAGTGAATAACTAAAAAATCCAAAACCACATTTGCTTTTGCAAATCTTACATCCCCTCCTAGTGAGGCTCCACGTGGCCGCTTCTTCCTTCACCACCACACTCATCCTTGAGTCGGCTGGGCACGGATAGGACAGTTGAGACCAGTAGGTTTGCCAGCGTGACCTTTGTAATATTTTGAAGGGGTGTTTCCTTGGAGACTGTCATCTGTATGCATCCCGATGGCTCTTGGCATGTTGTGACACATGGCGTGTGCTCATGGGTGCTGCCAGTTTGCTGATGGGGACCTGGGCTCTTCCTGGTATCTCAGTGCCAAGGGTATGTTACGTCCTCCACCGTAGCCGTTAGCCGAGGATCAGAAAACACCAACTATAATAGATGCTAATATCAACTAAGGGAAAGGTGGTAGTAAAGTGTAGATGGCAAGAAGTGTGGGTTACAGCTGGTGGCGGGGAGTGGGGGGAGAGGGGACTTGTTCTGTAGGTAAGGTGGTGCAGGTGGGGGTGATAAAGGGCCAGGAAAATGCCTAATCCTGCAAAGGGCAAAGAGGAGGCATCTTCGCCAAAGCAAATTGGGTTCCAGACTCCCGTTAAGTGGGAGCTGAATGTGGGCCCCCAGTTTTGATTGATCTGTGTCTCTCACTCCTTCCATTTCTGAAACCACAGTAATTACCTACTATTAAATCTTCAGCATATATGTGTCATGCTCAATTTTAGGTATGGGTCAACAACTATCATTGTGTAAAATTAGAGAAGGAAAAGATTTATCAGAGCTTGTGCACATGTGGACTGAGACACTTTGTTTTTCGGGGGTGTAGGAGACCTTGTGGTAAGCTTTGTATTGGTTATATGAATCCATCATTGGCAGAGTTGGGGATGGTAGTTCCTTTGAGATAAAAGATGTCTGATGCCGTGAATAAAGGATGCTTACATCCCCCAAGAACTAGCTCTTCCTATGAATAATTTAACCTAACTTTTCACAAGGCAATACACTTGGACTTCTTTCAATAGAAAGGCCCAAATAAGGCTTTCGGAAAGATCACGGAGCTTCTAAGGCAAAGAATGAACCTGTTTATGGAAATTCTAGGCTTCTGCAAAGCTGCCTGAGGGGCCCTAGTAAAGGGGACTCCAGGCCCCCACCCCTTCAATCCAGAAAAGCTCTGCTTAGGGTACAAAGTAAATTGCCCGCAGGCACACGGTAGGTAACAGGTAAGAAAGGGAAGTCACTGAGTACGAAAATGCTTTCAATGGGAAGAGGATTCTCTGAGGGGCCAAAGACAGCTGCTTCTCAAGGCCATTTGACTGTGGCCAGTGTTGCCAGATCTTATTTTTTGGAGGCCAGCAAATCATTTTTGTGAACTTTGGTGATTTTTAAATTGCTATAAACTAACTTTAAAGAAACTTTTATAAAATTGTTATCAACTAATTTTAAAAAACAAACAGTTGCGTTTGTTTGTCTATGGGCCATTTTTGGTCTGTGGCCTGGCAGGAAGATTGAAATTTTCTTTGCAGCATTCCAGCCCTAAGATGGTTCGACCCATGCTTTACAGCCTGGGGTGGGGGACCTGTTACCTTCCAAGTCAGCCTCCGGCAGGGAGTGGACTGCTCTGCCTGCGTCATGCGACGGGCTTTCATCAGGCACCTGCCAGGCCTCCGCACTCCCCACAGTGGGGTTCACCTGGGCCATGGCGCACGGGGAGTGAAATCAGGTGAGGCCGGCTCCCGGCAAAGCATGTTGGATCCTTGACGTCAGGCTCTTCCTAACAGTGTACCAGGTGATGATGGCACAGGTATAAACCTCAGGTTTTGGGACTTCATGACTTAAATGAGTAACCTTTATTCCACATGTTGTCTCTGACCAAGGGTCCTTCTCCATGAACTGTCTGTGTCAGATGACAGAGCTAAGTAATGACCCCAGGTTGCTTAGCTCCATGCTGATCATTCTCAACATAGAAAGAATTCCAGGAATTGCAGATCTGCCAGACCCCCAAACTCTGGGAAGTGAGAAGCATGACCACTGGAACCTGTGCCTGGCCTATGGGACTAGACTCTGCAGGTGAACAAACTATAGGTACCCTAGATGTCGTCCTCCCAGATGTAAATTTCTAGCTCACAGAACAAAGGTACTGGGGAAAAACTTCTTGGTATAGGTTACCCATGTCCTAGATCTTGGGGTGAGTGCCCCTTCTTCAGATATCAGTGAGAATCTGCCTGAAGTAAAGATTTTCACATCTTCTGAGTAAAGTAGCTGTTCAGACTCCCACTCCAAAAGCTTCAGCTCCAAAACTGCCTCTAGTCCAGATAGCCCAGCTTGGAAGTAACAGGCAGGCTGAACAAACTCACAATTTATTGAAAACAGGTACCTTTCAATAGCTCTAATTAGAAAAATCAGATTAGAGATACCATTACATTACTCACTCAGGAAAATAATATGTACAAAAATTCTCAGGATAGGGACAATAAAACAACCTGAAAAGAATACAACTTAAACAGGATTGGATTATTAGAATGGTCACGAAGCAAAATAATACAAAGTACAGCAAAGAGCCACACACGAGAAAACTGTGGGCCCTCAAGTCTGGGGTGGGAACTCAGTTCCCATGTTCTTGGACCACATCCCATGATTCTTTGGGGCAGAGGCACTGGCTGGCGCAGAGGGATCTCAGTGCTGACTCTGAGGAACTAGTCCATGCCCAGGGCACAGGCCAAACATGGAATGAGGTCATCGGGCCAGTCACACCTGCTCCCTCAATGAAGCCAATAAAAGAGAGATGCTCCCTGCAAAGTCTATAGACCTGGCAGGGGCCACTGGGCCATGGAGAGCCAGTCGCATACAATCCCAGACTAATCGAAGCCCTAGAAGTCCCTGATCCCAATTCCCACTAACTAGAGAGGTAGAGGAGCAAGACAGGGAAACTGCCTCCACACCAATTTTTGGTCTCGGTAAACAGAGATAAATACAAAGCGCTGTTCCAGAAGTCAGCCTGAAAAAGCCACTGGGCACAGCATGTGTGAGATTCCACAGGTGGAGGGGATGGGCATGGGGGTGGGGGGGGGTGTTCTGCTGTGGTCACTGCGGCGACAGGTCCTGACCCCATTTGTACGGTTCCTCCCAGCTTTCTGGAACTGCCCTCTCATGGCCCAGAACTCTCACTTCCCTGAGCCCAAGCCCCCTGCCTCAAGCATACACAGAGCGGAAACACCAGAGGCAGAGGGTTCCCTGACGAGGGGAATGGTCAGTCTTTCCAAGAACGTGAGGTTCTTCCAAGCCACCCCCATGGAGGCAGAGCAGGGCAGGGGAAACTGAGTTACAGGAGGCAGAGAAGGTGGCTCTGAGAGCAGGAAGGACAGTTCAGCGGGGAGAACAACAGGAAGTTCCGATTGCATAGCTGCAGCAGAAAGTGTCTTTGTCACCTGGGTTGGGAGGTGTGAACGGCAAAACTGATGCAGGAACAGTGTCCCCCCACTTCCCGAGTCCTCCAAGAGGAGCGCCACTCCTTGCTCTGGAACTTCACACCAAATAGACCGTAAGCCTGAAGGGAAGAAGCACCCCCTGAAGATCCATCCTGTCAAGTCGGGCTTCCTGGGACAGCAGCCTCATTTGTGAGTCTGTATGCTGCTGCAGATTTGGGCCAGACGGTTCTAAAAAGGAAAGGAAACCGGTCATTTAGAGATGAGGGCAGTGGGCATGCTTGTCCAGGTGGCAGCTTACAGTCCCCGCAGGCAGCGCTGGATGTGGGGCGAGGCTGGTCTCAGGGAATCTCAGCACTCCATTTTCTACTTGTATCACAAACCAACTTGCCTTTCTGAATCTGTTTCTCACTGAACAAAGGAGCACAATAACGTCTCCTAAGAGACAGTGAAGGTGTGACTGGGGAAGAGGAATGCAGTAGGTCCAGCTGGATGACGAAAGTCATCAGCTTTGGGTGGCTGGTGGTGTGTGTGATCTCCGCACCGGGCCTACGTTCACTAGGATATGTTTGGGAAAGCAGCCCCGCCCTGTCCCCTTCCTTGGATGGGCCCTTCACAGACGCCCCACAAACAAATATGGCAGCCATGTTTGCACCAAGTGCTCCCAGCCACCAGCCAAGACCATGCTGACTGGACCAGGGCAGCCCATCTGACCAAATCTGAGCCAACTTAGTCCTTCCTCTTGAGAATTTAAACGAAGACAAGAAACTGGACAGTTAATGTTGGGCAATGGAGCAATAGTTACAAAGTTGGGAATGTGGTGACCCAAAGCCACCTACAAACCAACGTTCAGGGAGAGCAGAACCAAGAGCCTGTGGAGTGACTCATCTGCTGGGGGGAGGACTGAGGAAGCACAGGAGCCCCAAGGACAGAGGAGCTGGAGGAGCTGGCACACCAGAGTGGAGCTCCAGGAACTCCCCTCGCTGATGGTGCCACCGCTCTGAGGCCTGGCTGTTCCACACTTTCTTTGCTTCTGTGGATTCCTTGTAACAAGCTCCATCCCTGCCCCCATTCCTGAACTGCTGTGAGGAAGTTTCAGTTCCTGGAGGTCAACTGTGCCCTATGCGTAGGCACCAACTGCCTGGACGAGGCAGGATTTCAATTCTGTAGTGGAACACTGTGGCAGGCACTCTGGGATGGACCGAAACTCAACGTCAATTTAAGGACAGAACTGCTGCTTAGGTAAGCAGGATAACAGTCAAAATCCCCCAGTGGAAAGAAGGCAACACAATTTTAAGTACAAAGCACTAGCCCAGACCTGAAAGACAATCCTGAGGACAGCTAACCGATATAGCCCCCGGAGGCCGCCCGGGGGCGGGGCTGAGCGTGAGACTTACGGACAGCTGCTTTATGTTTCCCAGGGCCTCTGGGTCCAGTTGGGCAATATCGACCCTCTTCAAGTCACTGGCCAATAATCGCATGCTCTGTGTGGAGGGGAGAGGGGGTTAAATTGCATGTCCTTCAGGGCAGGAACCTCTACCCAGCAACCCCATGTGCCCCAGTGGGTCCCCTTTGTGGCCGGCATGATGTGGGAGGGTGAGGCAAGGCAGACAGGACATAGGTGGTCACCATGTCCCCAAGGACACAGTGACATCAGTGCTTATCACTGGGTCAGTGGCTGAATCACCAGGCACCAGGGCATGTCCATTAGCTTTGAAGGGCCCTGAAGACCATCTGAGGGAGACCACGTCTGACCTCCCAGGAGGGGAGGTCAGCAACTTGCTCAACTCAACCTGGAAAAACTGGGCTCAGCCTGCTTCAGAACCCGTCAAAGTTAGGCCAAGTGGAAGAGACAGCTCATGTACCCCTTTCTAGATGAGGCACACACCCTGACAGTGCCCTCCACACTGTCTCCATCACTGCACACATCACATGGTGATATTAGAGTTAACTGTGAACATCTGGGCCCCCGAACTGCTTCTCAAGGGCAGGAGTGTCTTCCACATCTGGGGTCTGCTAGGAGACAGGTGCACTAATGTTCACTGATGAACAAGTGGACCCAGAGTGGGGTGAGGATCTTCCCAGTCTGGGCCTCGAACGTGGGAGAGGAAACTGCGTTCTGAGTCCTACACAAGCGTGGAGATCAGGGTCCATGCAACCACAAGGACTTTGGGGGAGAGAAGTGGGTGACTGGCCAGGGCAGGAGATGCTGACGACGGGCACCCTGGGCCTGGCCTGGCCTCCCCCTGGAGCGCTCACCTCTCCGCTGCCCACTGGCACAGTGAGGAAAACCTCTTTGCTGTCGGCAAGAGGGCTGCCGTTCACTGAGACGTTGTAAATCCGCTCTCTGGCTGCTGGAGTGCGCAGGCCTGGGGTCTTGAAGACCCTACAAAGTGGGAAAATCTCTGTCAAGATGGCCTGGCAGATTGCATGACACCAGGCACTCTGAGCCCTTCCAAACCCCAGCTGGCCTCAAGCTGCGGTTTTCAAATGGCACATTTCTAAGAAGGCGAGTTCTAAATTTAGGGGAAAAAATCTTTTTAAGCAGTAATGACTAAACACAGCTGGATAAGGGAAACTGCAATCATCAAACATACATCTAGCAAAAGTCAATTTTTATCCATATAAATTTTAGGTCCAAAACTCCATATGAATGTCAGTTATCCATCCATCCATCCCTCCATCCATCCAGCCTGCCAGAAATAAACTACAGTTAATGTACTTCTATCAAGAGGTATTTTCCAGGGTCAAAGGAGGAGGATTCAGAGGTTACATCCTTATATTAATTCCCAAACTTTCTCAAGACAATTAAAATGCTACCTATTTCCCCTTACATGTCCTTTGCTGAATGCTCATGTCGCGGGGCGGGGGGGGGGGCGTTAAAGAGTGGAAATTAAAAGCAGAAGGTAAGTCTTCCTCACCCTCCCCACCCTAGAGATAACCACTCCCACTTCCTTATGCATCCTTCCAGAAACGTTCCATGTATAGAAAAGCAAATGGGACCGTTAAGGACACACTGTGTTGCAACTGCTTGGAGATGCTTGTGATCCTGAGGCTGCCCCCTCCCCCATCAGCACAGACAGATCTACTTCTTTTTAAATGTCTATACAGCACTTCTGTTCAGGTTATCAGCCCTAGGGAAGGGATAAGCAAGATCATCCTTGTTTGTACTGGTCTCCCAAAAGAGGAAGTCGATTTTCCTCAAGGGTGTAGGCGAATGCCTACCTATTTAAAAAAACAAAACAAAACAAAAGTTTTGATTGGAATCAGAAGAGACCAAAAGTCACTAGAGGCCTCCTAGTCATCAGAAACAATACTCTCTCTCTTCAGATGAAGAATCGTTTTGTTTCTGAAAGCAGGTGAAGCTGCACTCAAGGGAGAGGCAAACAATATCAGGAAGCTCAGGCGATCACCCTCCTCTGAAGATAACTCAGGAGTTATTTTCTTAACCATCCTTCTTTCCTGACGTTCAATGTTGGGCCCCCACCCAAATCCAAGCCCAGCTCTCAATACTCACCTTGAGTCAAATCTGGGTGTCAGGCCTGGAGTTGGTTTCACCAGAGACAGCTCCATCCGGCCCACAGCTGGGGTAACAGTGTTACAGTTGCTGGACCTGCAGGTAAGATGCAGCTGTTAGGTGCACCCACTCAGGCCCAATGGCGGCGGCAGGGACAGGGAACACTTGGAGAGCACTGACCTTGTCAGATACTGTCCTGAGCACCCACATAAACTCGTGTAACTCTCCCAACAACCCTGTGAGAAGCACCATTATTATCCTCATTTATAGATACAAAAATTCATTGACTTCAAATAACTTGCCCCAAATCACACAGCCAATTAATATAAAGCCAGAGCTTTGGACCCAAACAGTCAACCCCCAGAATCCAACTTCCCAGCCAAGCTGAAGGAACAGGAGGGAGGAGACAGCCTCTCGGCGGCCCCGGGCGCCCAGCCGGTTCCCGTCCTCCTGCTCAGCAGTTATCACTGCGCAGGGAGAGCTGAGAAGCGTCTGCGCACTCAGTAACCCCCTCCCCCACCAAGTCTATTTCCCTAAGCTTGTTGGGGATGTAGCCCCCGCTCTCAAATGGTTTAGTAGGGTCCAGCAGAATCAGGTTAAGTCCATGGTGATTATTTAGCAGGACCAGGGGTAACACTTCAAGAAACTAACTATTGGTAAGTGACAGCTACTTTGTGACTGGCCATGGGGTAGCTCTGCACATGGACTGTCAGGTAACTAAACAAAATAATATGCAATGCTTACTATATGTTTCTGGCCTTATTCTCCCTGTTTGTGTTGAAAAAAGTAAGGGAGGATAGAGAACGTGGGCAGATGAACTGGAGGAGGTATTGACTCAGATCATTTCTAGAGGGCCCTCAGTTCAGACACTCAAGGATCTGCTGACTTTAAGCTCTACTGGAACACGAGGTGCAAAAGCCCTCTCGCCCCCTAATTCTGCCATGATGAACGTGGCTCTCACACCAACACCACACAGCTGAATTTGGAAAACCCATTACCTTTTGCTTTTGCCTTTTCCTTGTATGGACTGGGTTCTCTTCCTGGAGGGAGGACACCTTTTGACCTGAAGTCACAATCAAATGAAACTTAGGTTACAAAAAGCCTTTCCTGCAAAGGGGGGAGGTAAGGGAAAGGAGAACCAGCTCTGGAAAAGAAAACTAATATAAGAAGATCTATCTCACAGATTTAAATAACTCAGAACATAATTGATCAACTAAGGCCTATACCTGGCTTGGTCTCCAAAATAGAGGATTTTGGCCGAGATTAAGGGTAAAGGTAAGAGTCTTTTGAACTGATTGCAGCATGGCCGATCAGTCCCCTCCCGACCTTTACATAGTGAGCAGCTGCAAAGGTCACTCTGGGTATCCCAGGCGCCCAGTACAAGGAACTCTCCACAACCCTCACCCCTCCCGAGCCTTCAAAGGTACCTGCCAGGAATCACTCCTTATCTTCTGATGATTCTCTCCTCCTCACCGTCCAAGACCGACCCATGTCCCTGTGCTGGTGCTGCCCCTCTGTGGTCTGCCTCACGAGCCCCTTTCCCTCTTCCCTCACCCCTCTCCACACTCTCCTTGTACCTCATTAACTCCCACCCAGGGACAACCACCCAAAGACCTGAGGGTCAGCGTGACTCTCAGTCTCCTCCTCCCTGAGCTCCCGGCTGAAAGTTCTGTCTAGGCTGCATGTCCTAGAAAAGTATTAAACACTCAGCATGTCAAACGACTGACACGTGAACTGCTCCTGCTCACCTGGACCCTGCACGGCTCTTCCTCCTGGGCCCCACGTGCCGCCAGATGCAGCTGCCTAAGCTAGACACCATGCAGTCATCTCTGGCTCCTCTCCTTCCTCCACCAACCCTGTCCATCCTCCCTTTTAAATCTTATCTCAACACCTTTCCTTTTTATAGGGTCAGAGCCTCAGCCCAAGGGTTACAGTAGCCTCCCTACTGGTTTCCTTCTCGCCAGCTCTCCCCCCTCCCATTTATCCTGAACACTGATCTGAAATACTGATCTGGCTGTCACTTACCATTACCTGCCTGAGGACACTGAACTTCCAAGCCTGCTGCACAAGGCCATTCATTATCTGGCCCCTATTCCACCCAGCCTACTCTGATAGCTCATATCCGAGCCATTCCAAACTGCTTCCTATTCCTTAGTGGATACTTTCATTCTTTCTCTGGGAATTCCCTTCCTTTTCTTTTCTAGCTAATGAAATCTCACTAACCTTAATGGCCTGGCTGTGTCTTAAGGGGGCAGGTAAGACTTAATAGTGTCCTCTTCCACATTTACGCACTTTCCACATATTTCTATGATTGTTTTTGTTATTAGCCATTTAAGTGGGATCTTCACTATTAAACTGTGGACTCTGGGAGGGCAACACTGTATTTTAAGAATTTTTGTACTTCCTCGTTTGTCAGCCCACAGCCTTAAACCTGAGCACGTACTTACTTTGGCAGTTTGAAGTTTCTTATTTTTTTTTTCTTCTTCTTCTTCTTCCTCTATCATTTCATCCACTTGTATTGCCTTTCGTGCTACAAGAAACAGTTTAACAGAGTGCTATTTCTCATGGGAATAAACTTTCACGCATTCACATTTCTTATGGGAAAGAAAACTTATATAATCTTAGGCTGTAAGCAAGAAATAAACCTAAAGATAACTTTTTTTAAAAAAGGGGTCTAGATAAAGGGAACTAACCGAGTGGTGAAGAAACCACCCTGGGTAGGGTCAGCCCAGCATTCTGGCCCTCCCCAAAACTAGGTCACATGGCTTCATGGTGGTGCCTCACTTTCCTCCTCTATAAAAGGGAGTAGTGACTTTATAGGGATATCATGAGACCTGGAATGTGTGCTCCATAAGAACAGGGTGTTATTTTTATTCCTATATCCCAAAGCCTAGATCCCTATAAATGTTTAAGTATTCATGGAATGAATGAATGGAAAGCCCATTGGACAGTACTAGATACATGTTGTAATAAATATCATTGTTATATTATTTATGTAAATGCCACACGAAGACTTAGAAAGTGTCTCATTGCCAAATATGTACAGCCAGGAATTAGACAATCTTGGGCAGGGATTCCATAGAAGAAATTCTGCATTTAATCACAGGAGGACAGAAATCAGGCTAAATATGTTTTAAAACAATTTTTACTATTGGTTGACATTGGTCCTGGTGTGTTCGGTTCCCAGGGGTGAAATCAGAAGACACCCCACACCCAAGTAAGGAAAATTGATGGAACTCAGAGGAGAAACTGATATTATCCAAATGTAGGAATAACCCAAAGTGACCTAATAGGTTGTAAATATGTGGCTGACAAACTCTAGGAACACTCAAGGCCAATTACATTATAACCTCCAGGAGGCAGAACTGGAAGATAACACTTGGAAAGCGAAAATCTCACTGTGCTTTCTTCACACTACGAAGCAATTCTGATGGAAGCCAAGTTGGCATGAGAACTGGACAGTGTTCTGGCCCTGCCCAGTCAAGAAAGTGCCTGCATGGGTAGCCCAGAAATCCATGGTCAGGACAGCCTCCCAGGAGTGGGATGCACTGAGGTGCCAAAGCCTAATGACAGCGACATCAAGTCCATAACAGGGCTCACTAATTGCAACCTGGCTTCCCCAAAACCTTCCCTACAAGACAGTGTTTCTCCGTGTGGGGCGTATGTGTGAGTCTCATTCACATGGATGGGTCACTGAATCAAGTAACATGGAATTAACATGCTGAGAAAGTCCTTTTACAGCTCGCTCTCAACCCTTCTCATCGGGGAAGTCGCAGCTGATGAGGCCACGTCTTGTAACACCTCTGGAGACCCTGCTCACCTGCCCTGACCTCCCCAACCCGGGGGAAGCAAGCAGACCCCGCATTTGGTTCGCAGCACAGCTTCTGCTTTTCTCCTTTCACTCTCCCTGGCACGCATGTCAATTACAAGCCTGAGAACCAGACTTTAGAGGGAAGAGGCTCCCTCGGTGAGGCCTCCTGGAGCAGCCAGCCAGCCCCCCGGGGAGCCTCAGCTCTCTCAGTTCAACAAGGGATCTAAAAAGTACTCACTTCTGGCAGATTTCAGGGGTGTCTGAATAGCTTCTGCTGTTAGTTTGTTTATTTCTCTGATATCCAGGTCCGCCTGTGAAAAACACAGCCAGAAAACACCATGTATATTTAATCAAATGTGAGGAACATTTTAAGATGAAAAACAATTACTTTTTAAAACATATTATTTGATACATACAGAAAAGTGTTATAACACAATATAATAAACTCCCATAAACCTACCATACAACCTAAGACCCAAAACATCGACAATAACTTGCTCCTAGTTACGCATTTTCCCTTGTTCCATTTCCTTGTCTCTCCCCGAAAGGTGATCAGTCTTCTGTCATTCTCCAAAGATAACCCCAGAGATTACATTTGCTTGAAAGTATGTGTGGATGTGTATACACATATTTCTTCACAAATATATATGTGCTTAAATAATATTTTGTTTGGTTTTATTTCTAAACACTGTTTGTGGTTGTAGTTAACCTGTTTTCACTGCTATATAACATCCCACCGTGTGACTCTATCACAATGGATTTGTCCAACCTTCTGTCCAGTCTTTTGCTATTACAAACAGTGCTGCTTTGAACTGTCACACAGATATGTCCAAGTTTTCTCTTGACTACATACTTAGGAGTAAGGCATTACAGGGTTGTAGGGTACACAAATGTTCAGCCTTGAAATTATGCCAAATTAGTTTCTGAAGTAGTTACACTTGGCTAAATTCCATTAACAAACAACTTCCCAGTGACCCACATTCTCTGTAACACCTGGCGCTGTCAGACTTCTCATTTATCTTTTTAAGTCTAGAGGGTCAATAATGTTTCCTGGGCCCTTCAAAAGGCTCCCAGTCACCCTTCGAATTAAACTTCTTCCTTCTTCCCATTAATGACTACCTATATGGATGGGAATAATCAAGACCAGGCACGATTTGTAGGCCTTTCCTCATAGGGAACGTGCAAATATCAGAAGAGTTGCTACAGACTAGGAAAGACATAGGTTTCCTCTCTGGGTTGGAAGGAACTACACGGAGCACTCAGAGATGGATTCTGAGGCTGTCCAAGCTTAGCAAGAAACAGTACTGTGATAGATTCGTGACGCCTGATACAGTGCGTGGAAAGGAAGGCAGTGTCCTACTTTCTGCCATCTCAAGAACCAACTGGCACATTATGGAGAAATCATTAGGGGCAGCCCACTGGTTATCTACAGCGCAGAAGAGTTAACAAGCCTAAGACTGACACCCATGGAAAGGCCTATTTACACAGGTGGTCTGTGGCTGGCACCAGAACTTGGGTTTCGGGGTTCCCACTACTTCTGAGAAGAGTGGCTCCCTGTGCCTAAGATTGGTACAAACAATATGGTTTATTCTGAACACCTGTTCTCTTTCTGGAAGTCTGAAACTTTGGTATTGTTAGGCAGAAGAGGCCTATGTGACCAGCCCCCCAATAAAAACCCTGGGCAGTGAGTCTCTAATGAGTTTTTCTGGCAGGTCACATTTCACACGTTTTGAATTAAGTGTGTCCTATGTGACTCCATTGGGAGAGGACCCTTGGAAGTTGGCACCTGGTTTCCTCTGCACTTTACTCCATGCACCCTTTCCCTTTGCTGACTTGCTTTGTATCCTTCCACTGTAACAAATCATAGCAGAGCATGACTGCAGTGCCCCCATCCACGATTTCACCTTCTGTGACTTCAGTTACCTGCAGTCACCTGCAGTTGGAAAATATTAAATGGAAAAATCTCAGAAATAATTCATAAGTCTTAAATTGCACGCCGTTTTGAGTAGCGTGATGAAACCTTGCGTCGTCCAGCTCTGTCCCAGGACGTGACCCATCCCTTTATCCAGTGTATCCATGCGACCCGGCCAGTAGTCCCTTAGCAGCTGTCTCAGTTATCAGGTCACTGGTATCGCAGTGCTTGTGCTCAGGTGACCCTTATTTTACTTAATAATGGCTCGAAGCACAAGAGCGGCGGTGCAGCCCATTCGGGCAGGCCAAAGAGAAGCCATCAAGTGCTTTCTTCAAATGAAAAGGTGAGTACAGTGCAATAAAATATTTTGAGAGAGATCACATTCATATAACATATTGTTATAATTGTTCTCTTTTATTATTAGTTACTATTAATTTCTTACTGTGCCTCAATTATAAATTAAACTTTATCAGACATAAATATGTATAGGAAAAAAAGCAGTAATATAAAGGGTTCGATATTAGCCATAGTTTCATGCATCCACTGGGGGTCTTGGAATGTATCCCCCGTGGATAAGGAGGTCCTACCACATATATGCTGAGTCCTGTGAGTCCTCCTAATGAATTACCAATCCTGAAGATAGTCTTGTGAGCCCCCTACATACTTAACAATTAGAGCTTTTCTACCAAATTATCATTCCTTTCTTGGTTTTAAATCATATAAGTTAAGGAGAGAATTCTCTTGACTTGGTGTGATGACACTGGATATCTCATTTTGCATTAGAAGCTCTGATTTGTAGTTCTAAAGAGGGCAATGCATTAGCTAATGAGTATAATTCACCTCAAGGTAAGTCTTTTTACATCTTAGATCTGAATGTGTACAGGAGGAACATATCACAAAGGAAGAGAAAACATGGACCAAGAATGTTTACTAGTTCTTGATTTTCTTTTTCAGTCATCCACATCTCTCTCCTACAATACTCACCCCAAACTCTCATTTTTTCCCTGCTTGAAAAACTGGCTCCTAAGTACCTTTAACATCGGAGGCCAGTGGAGATCCACTAGTCAGTGCTACTGGGTACCCTTTGTAGTCAGATCATGTCAAACTCTCAGATTCCAAATGATCATGATCGACTCATAGGAGGCTGGGGCTTTTGGGGTTCACTTTGCAAATCTGCTGAAGGATATAATAAAGTTTCTCCTCAAAAAGATACGAAAATAGATGATTTTAGAAAACCTAGGGTCTCTGTGAAGCCCATTGTAGACCAGCTCCCAACATTGACCAATTGAACTTTCTGCAAGGGTATGAATGTTCTACTTCTGATCTGTCCAATAGGGTAGCTGCCAGTCACACATGGCTACTAAATATTTGAAATGGGGCGAGTGTGTTTGAGGAACAGAATTTCAAATTTTATTAAATTTAATTAATTTAAATAGCTAAATGTGGCTGGTGGCTACTGTATTGGACAGTACAGATTTAACTCCTTTTTTGCCTTACATCTTACTGGTACTGATGCTGGGAGGGAGGAGGTGAAAGGGGTGGGGACTCCTGAGAGTCCCAAGCAAGAGCACAGCTTCCAGGGTATGGCAGGATAAAGCAACTGTCTCTTTGTCACCTGGCAGGTCAGGTCACTATGTAGTGACCTAAGGGCCTAAAGGAACTTGGACTTGAGGCTTTCTGCTTCTCCTGCAGAAGTCAGGGCAAGGGCTGCAAAGAACCTGCCAAAAATAGAACCGCCTCCCTTCCTAGGCCTCCAAATTGTACTCAGCATTTAACAGCTGTGATTTCTCAGTTGACACAAGCAGATAATGTCCCCACAGTAACTTCTTCCACAGTAAGCACTCACTGGTTGGATTTCATGAACAGACCCAACTTAAAAATACTGATCAACATAGTTCCAAAATAGGACAAGTCACTTACCGTTGCTGCTTCTTCCAGGGCCTGCTTGCTTCCTCCAAGGGCTTTAAAAAGATCATTTTGTCCAGTTACAATGAGATTTTAATGATAAATCACCTTCCCATGACCAGAATAAGCCCTTGGTCGAACACTGAAGGACCTTCATAACCTAGTCTAATCCTTCTCTAAGCCTGACCCACACCCCTCAAGCCCCAGTCTATGTTCTACCACACCAAAAAGTCCTGGTATTTCCCAAATGTGCCACTGTCTTTCATGACTCAGTGTTCTGGCATTTACTATTTCTTCTGCCCAAAATATTCCTCTGCATCTAACCTTTGAGAGCTCAAACCCTAAACTCTGTCTTTTACAGCAGATTGCTGTAAAGCGCTGAGTTAGCTGTTCACCCTCACCCTACCCAACAACTACGCAAAGCAGTTTATGCGTCCACCCCATCTTGAACTGAATTCCTTGAGGACAGAGATAATATCCATGGTTTCCGGCAAAATATGACATACAGTAGGCATGCAGTATATGTGTCTTGAGTGAAGTGGTCTACGCAAGGTTAGATGTAGAATAAAGAATTACGTTAGGTCTTCCTGCAGAAACTCTCAGTGTCCTGAATGATGGTTAAGAACTCAAGCTTTGGAACCAGAATACGCCTACATTCAAATAGACTGTCACTAACCAGCTCATAAGATCTTGAGCGAAGTAAATTTTATTTTAATAAAATAAATCCTGTGCCTTAATCTTGTTATCTATAAAATAGGAATAATATTAACAATACATTTGTTATGAGAGTAAAATTAGTTCATATAGCAAGTCCTTGAATAGTGTAGTTTCATTCAACAGCATTTCATTACAATGTTGATGAGAAAAAGAAAACTAATTCCTGGCTGGGGTCACTCTCCTCGTGTTGTTTGCGTGTTCTCCCCATGTCCGTGTGGGTTTCCTCCAGATACTCTGGTTTCCCCCCACGCTCCGAAGTTTTGAAATGATGTGTCTGAATTGTCGCAGTCTGAGTGTGGGGGGGTGTGAGTGCACCCTGGATGGAAGGGTGTCCTGTCCAGGGTTGATTCCTGCCTTGTGCCTAAGAGGCTCTGGTCACCTGTGACCCTGAACTGGAATAAATGGGTTGGAAAATAATAATTCTCGTTTTTATTCATCTTTCTTATAGGTGTGTATAGTTGACACTTACTTCAATGTTTAATATTAGAAGTGTTTTGGGTCTTTATTTAGAAATTTGGTGATGTCTGTGTGACCAGAAATAAGTATGCTGTAGGAATTTAGCTCTTGTTTATATCAATTAGTCTATGGTAAAATTGGTTTTGTTATATGTTGTTTCACTTAATGTCTCAGTTTCTAAGAACCTATGGAAGACATTAAGTGGGGACGTAATGTACATGTAAAACACTTGGTACAATGTCTGGCACAGGAAGCACGATATAAATGTGCTTACTGATCACTATTCTATCTCTTTTGTAGTACTTATAACTTTACCTAGTGGGGGGTAGGCAGAGACAAATGTATTTGAAAAAATAAATTTAAATTAAATTTAAAAAAAAATAAAATAAAATGACCCTTCTCTAGTAACTTCTAAGTTCCTGATTGTAGGTAAAGTATCTGTTTTATTCCCCAGTGTGTCTTCAGCACTAGCACTGGCACTGATACATACTTAGTGAATATTTGTAGAAATGTACAAATAGATTAATAAATAAAATGGCAAGCCAAAAGAATCATTAATGTCTACTAGGTGAGGAGACCAAGCATTTCCATTCCAAAAGGAGGTGACACACTAGGTAATTATTAATAAAGATAATTTAGACAGCAAGGGTAACCCAGCAGAAAGGGCAGTGTCTTGCATTTCCTTGGATACTTAACCAGGGGGTGGGGTACAGGCTGGGATTTTTCTCTCGCCAGGAAAACTCTCGGGTCCTTGCATTTCCCGCTTCGATTTGCCCTTTTTAAGCTGGCAGTTTCCATAAGCAGCCTATCCTTTCGTCTGAGCTCTGGTAACAAACCAAGTTCTTCATTCATTCATTTTTAAATGGGTGGATAAAATATCAACAAAGACTATTTCCTGACACATGAAATTTATGTCAAACTCATTATTTCAGCGTGTCCATAAATAAATCTTACTGGAATACAGCCATGCCCATTCATTACAACTGTTCTGGAACTACAACAGCAGAGGTGAGTAGTTGGACAGATAACCTTCTGGCTCAGAAGGCCTAAGATACTTACTATTTGGTCTTTTAGAGAAAACATTTTTGACTACCCGTAGGAGTAGACAACGGTAAGAGCTAATGAGGTTTTTGGGTTTTATTTATTTAATTATTTATTTATTTAAGTAGGGAAGTGAGATAGAGAGAGGCGGGAGGCCTTAGGACTTCTATTTCTAACAGTGATCACGGGAGCTTTAACTTAGGTGAAGGTTGTCACGGTAACCACACAGGGGCTCCAGGGCGAAGCCTGGGGAAGCTCGAGCTGCGCTTACCGAAGTAGTCGAGCCAGTTCATCTCGCGCAGAGCCTTGGGGAGCCGCAGGATTTCGATGCTGTACATGTTGTCTAGCTCCTTGAGGAGGTTCAACCTGTCCGACTGAATTTGCTTGCATCGTATTTGCACTGCGACAAGGCAAAGTCGATAGGACACGGGTCACCCGGTGGGTGGAGGGAGCTTGGATCCGTGCTGCCCGCGCAATCCGTCAGCACCCCGCAATCGGCCCAGGTAGCCGCGACGGCCGGGGCGCAGCCCCTTACCTTCACGATCGAAGTCCTTAAGAAAGGAGGCGAGCTTCCGGCTCCGTAACGAGTTGGCCTTGGTCACCCCACTGCTGCCCTTCCTAGCCGGAGCCATGGCGCTTCGGTGGAGGCTGCGGGGAGCGAAGAACCGAGCCACAAGGGGTTAGAGGCGGAAATGGAGAAGGGAAAGTAGGGGGCCACGAAGGGGCGGGAGAGGGAGAACGGGCGCCCCAAAGGGTTCGTGGAGGGAGGGCTGACCTTCAGGGCCTGGGCGTAAAGAACTTGCGCAGAACGTACCTGAGGGTCCCAAATCAAGGGCTGAAAAACACCTCTCCGCCGTAGCTGTAAGGGAGCGGCTCAGCGGCTAACTGGAAGTGCGACCGCCCGCACGAAATTCAAACTGCCAAGGGCTGACGAATGAGAAGTCGCCATCTTAGAAGGAGGCTCTACGGCATCCAATCACAAGGAAGCTTCCGCGTTAGGCCTCCAGCTCATACGTAGGACTACAGTACCCAGAAAGCATTGCGGCTACGACATCTTTCGCGACTTAACTGCGTTGGGGGAGGTGGGCGGTCAGGCTTAGATAAACTGCAGGCGTTGGCTGGGGGCTCTGGCGGATTCTCAAACGTGGATGGCTTTAAACTTTAAGTTTTCCCGCTGGTTTAAAGGAAGCGGCCGGCAGTCTCAAGAAGAGGAATACAAGATTCCGGATCCAGAAGCATAGGTCCGGCACGGGGGAGACCGCGCTTGGACTCCGCAATCCGTAGTTTGCAGGAGGAGACCGCCCGAGCCTCAGAAGAGCCTCCCCGGGGGGATAGTCCGGAAACCCTTTCCGAGGTGGGAGATACGAGCCCCGCCTCCCGAGGGACCATCTAAAGGTAAGACAGGGCCTCGCGCCAGGCTCCTATCCGAGGGGATAGACAGCCCTACCTGGAAACCCTGGTTTAGCTGAAACTCATCTGAGAACGGAAATAACTCCCACCCTTGACCCGGTACCTCCCCTGCTGACTTGGGACCCGAATGCTGTTTTTTTCTTTCTGGCTTTTTCCCTCCCTAACAGAAGATGGCTCCGGACCGGCCTTTGCTTGCGGTGCAGGAGGCCCTGAAGAAGTGCTTCCCCGTGGTGGAGGAGCAGCAGGGCCTGTGGCAGAGCGCTCTGAAGGACTGCCAGCCCCTCCTGGCCTCCCTCAGCAATCTGGCGGAGCAGCTGCAGGCGGCGCAGGGTCTGCGGTTTGAGGAGGTGCCGTCACTTCGGGCCTTTCCAGACTTAAAGGAGCGGCTGAGGCGCAAGCAGCTGGAGGCCGGCGACACTGTCCTGGACAAGCTAGGGGAGAGGCTGTAAGAGGCTCCATGACTCCCTTTCTTAGCGGGAAGATTTTAAAATCGGGAGTCCCATAAGTACCTAGGATCAGTCAGGGTAGGGTTTTTACTTGAGGGCATGGCATTTGGAGGTGTCAACCTTCCCTCCTTTGCATTTGTTGGCAGTAGGACCTCTCTCAAAAAACCATTTTCAGGCTTTTGTCTTGTCAGAAGCTGGGCTTGGTAGTGGTGGACTTAGTAGAAGTTTAAAAAGTAAAACAAAAGCAGTGGAGAGTTCTTCTCTGTAGTTTTCTTTGGTAAAAAGCAATGAGGAATTACAGTGGACTCTTGAACAACATGAAGGTTAGCAATGACCTCCAGTGCAATGAAAATCTACGTGTAGCTACAGCTGGCCCTCCCTGTACATGAATTCCCAATCATGGTTTAACCCTTGAACAATGCAAAATCCGTGCATAAGTGGACCTGGACAATTAAAACCCCTGTTTAAGGGTCAACTATATACTATAAACTTGGTGGAAGTCAGAGCTGAAGGTTTTACATACATTATTGCATAAAATCTTTTCAACATTTCTGTGACTCACCCTCACTTAATCCCATTTTGCAGGTGAGAAAACAGAGGCCCAAGCAGATTGCCTCTCCGGTCTTTGAGCTAGTAAATAGCAAAGCTGAGATTCTAACCCGAGTGTGCCTGACACCACAGCCAGAGCCCTCAAGCACCACTTTGTTCTGCTGCACCTTGGGGTCCCTGTGCCCAGGAGTAAGCACATCTGTCAGCCTTTATCATGCCTGATGTTACTCCCTCTGTCTCAGAATTACAGGTTATGGGGATAGAGAAAAGACTGGACACATGTGACCTTTCCTTGACCGGAACAAAAGAAGGTTCTAGTGTATAGAGTATGTGCCATTGACCAATACAAAACTGTCAAAAACAGGGACTGTCTTTGTATTCAGTTGTACAAAATACATTTGTTAAGCACCAATGAGGTGCATGCCAAGCACAAGTTATTGGGAATAAAACAATGAACCAGATTTAGTTCCTCAGCTGAGTAGAAGAGATAGTCAGTTACACTATGTCATGGTACATGCTACGATGATGAACTTTTATTTAAATTGATTACATATTTGTGTGTGGATATTGGGCTGTTATTTTAAGTCTATTTTTAAATTGTGGGTCATGGTCAAACATTTTTGAAAGCCACAATTCTAAGCCGAGGAATGCCTTGCCCTTTGGGAAATTGTAACCTTTGTCTTGGTGGCTGGGTCCCTTGGAGTCGCCAATGGAATAATAACAATATTTACTATAAGCTGGGAACTTCTCTAAGCACTTTCTATGCATTATTGCATTTAATCTTCACAATAACCCTTTTTATTCATTCACCAAGTGTTGTTCTCCATGTGAGTATCAATGTTGTAGGTACTTGGATGCACAGTGAGCAAAACTGACTGGTTCTATATATGCTGGAGAATAAGTAACTTTCCTAGGTTTACAGTAGTCTGTGCGTTCCATGAGCCAAACTTTACTATTCAGAAATGTACTAGGGTGGGGCTAGGTAATGAGTGGATAGTACTGGTTTGTGGCTTCAGTTTCCTCTTACTCCCTTTTCACATGCATGGCACGTGACTCTGGGTAAGCAGTTGCTTTTCCTACGCAGCTTTATGGCAGCCCCAAACAAGCCGCTTGGTCTTTACTTTCTTTGGCAGCTGGGCTAATTACACAGCTTTAATTCTTGAGCCACTCCTACCTCCAAGGCACTGTTACCAGTCTCCTTAGATAAAATGCCCTTTGGGTGCCCTTTGGGATATTTGGCACTATCTGGAGACAGTACTGATTGTCACGACTTAGAGTCGGGGCATGGTTTGGTCCTGTGATCTAGTGGGTTAGGGATGCTGCTAAATATCCTCTAAATATCGTGCAGTGCACAGGGCAGCCTCCACCACAGAGAATCACCTGGTCTGAAATGTCAGTGTGCCAAGGGTGAGGAGCCCTGCCTTAGGCCTTTCTCATGATAATGCCTAATAACAGACCCTTTCTCCCAGAGCTGCCCTCCTCAAGGTGCGTGACACAGTCAGCAGCCACGTGGAACAAGTGCTCCAGATCTACGAGCAGCATGCAGACGCCATCGGCATCGATGCTGTCCTGCAGGCTTCGGCTGTGAGCCCCTCTGTGGCTGAGATGCTGGAATGGTTGCAGGATATTGAGAGACATTATCGAAGTTCGTATCCTTTGCACAAGTTTCAGATCGTGTCCAGAGCTCTTCCAGGAAGTCTTTTAGTTCCCATTTTCACAGGATTACAAAATTGTACAGTACGGGTCGGTTCTCTTTGGCTCCTGAACTTGGGTTCTCCCTATGGTTATTCCTCAACTCAATTACTGAGTAGCCACTACCTGCCAGATATTGTTCTAGTTGCTGGGAGATAGCCAGTAAAAAAGGAAAACATGCAGAATGTCGGATGATGATGAGCACTGTGGAGAAAAATAAAGCAGAGAACGGGAGGGGTGAGGGTGGGGTTGTGATCGTAAATAGGTCTTACTGAGAAAATGACATTTGAGAAAAGACATCAAGTACAAAGGCCCTGAGGTGAGCGCATCCTGATAGGTTTTGGAAATACTGAGGAGGCCAGTGTGGCCAGAGCAGAGTGAAGAGGGGAAGCCTAACAGGAGGGGCGGTCAGAGAGACGGGCTCAACCTTGTAGGGCCTTAAGGTCTGAAAAGATTTTGGCTTTACTCTGACTGAGATGGAAAGCTATCAGAAGGTTTTAACATAATCAAACATATGTTTTTAACAGAACCACGCTGGTTGGTTGTTTTTTTTTTAATCCTCATACATTTTGACTTCAGAGAGGGGAAAGGAGGGAGAGAGAGAGGGAGGGAAACATCAATGTGAGTGAAACATTGATTAGTACTGGTTTGTTGCTTCATTTGCTTCTTGTACACGCCCCAGTGGGGACCAAACCCCCAGCCTAGGCATGTGCCTTAACGGGGAATTGAACCCATGACCCTCCAGTTTATGGAATGATGCTCTAACCAACTGAGCCACACTGGGCAGGGCTACCCTGGTTTTGTTCTGGAGAAAGACTTTGGGTGGTGTGGGGCAAGGGTAGGAGCGGAAAGATCAGTTAGTAGTTCTGGCGTTTGTGTCTTGGTTCTTGCCTGATACCTATATCTACGCACTGGCTTGCATTTCTGCCTTCATTTGAGGAGTTCCCAAATCCAGCCTTTATTCTTGTCTCTCGTCTTGATTCTCAGTTTCCTGTACGTGCCTCCAACTGGATTGCTCACACAAGTGCAAACTCAGAGTTAGAATTGAGCTCCTCTAGCACTCACATGCAGCCCCCTTTTCCTTTAGATGCAGAATCAGGCCTGTGTAATCACCCAGTCTGGAGACTTAAGCAATATCTTCCCCCTTTCTCTCTTTTCTTTTTAAATTGCAACAGTAGCGGTTGTGGCAGCTGCATGGGCAGTAGGAGCTGTAGCTGCAGCTAAGGTTACTGAGCACTTACTATGTGCCCGGTACTATTCTGGGCATGTTCACACTGGCAAGTCACCTGGCAAGTCCTCTGAGTCTGTTTCCCTACTGCGTTTTATATGTTCCTTCTCTATCCCCACTGCTTCTTCCATAGTTTCTTACCTCTCACTTACACTTTTAATCACATGTAGCCTCTTGGCAGGTTCTCGGTCTCTCCCTTCTTTCCCTCTAAGCCATCCCCAGTGAGTGACCTCACCCCATATTTCTGCAGGCGGTTCAGTTCTGATCCTATTGCTTGTATACAAGTTTCGGTAGCTTCTTTTGGGAGGAGCGTGGAATGCAGAATCCCCGCGCAGGGCTGCGATGCTGTGTTCTGGTTCAGCCTGCCTCCTCAGCCACCTTTCCTCCTGCTCTGCACATTGTGCCAGCCAAACCGGAAGGTGCCCTTGTCGCTGAACCCATTCCAGGCTTCCCCACTTCCATGCCTGTGCGTATGCTTTTCCGACCAGCTGGCATCTTCCTGCTACCTTCTCAACTGGGCGAATTCATCCTCTGAATGTCCACTGAGTTTTATTTTGTATGTCACTTAGGTTCTTTCTTTTCAGTGCCTGGCTTTCCTCACCCTGGTAAGGTCTTTCGTGGCACGCACGATGTTCCATTCCTCTGTCCCTGTAGCCCAGGGCCACGCGAGTAAAGAGGTGCTCGGGAAAGAGTGGCATGGGCGAGCCTTTCAACCTGGAGGAATTTCATGATGGCTGCACCTTCACTTCCATGTTTCCTATAGCTCTCTCCAGGCTTGGTTGGTTGGTTTGTTTTCCCTTCAACACATTTCATTTTCTTTTGGATCAGTCCTTAACTTCCAGGAAGGTACCTGGAGAGGAAGTACCTCCTGTCCTCAATCCAGTGGGGAGACTTGGCAAACATCCAAGCTTTGCCCAAGGCCTGGGACCGAATTTCGGAAGACGAACACCAAGACCTGGTACAAGGTACTGGTTTTTGCTTATTCCTTCATGTCTTCCTCCCCACCTTCTTTCCTTGTGTCTTACTTCTGTGGGAGCCTTATGGAGAGGCCCTCACAGTGCCCCGGTGTCTTTTATCAGTCTAATGTTTTATGTCCTCTGGAGGGTGCTTTGTCACAGTTCCTTCTCTCTTCCTATTCCAGATATTCTACTGAATGTTTCCTTCTTCCTGGGAGAGTAAGGGAGCTGTGTGTTTATCTGGAGACCAGGGGCACACAGTTGAAGACCGACAGTGCTGCACTCTGGTATTTCTTAAGAAATGTCAACATTGCAACTGGACATACCTGAAAAACGGTCTACAACCCAAGGACTGGCTCTTGGGAGAATTGTGCCAGATGTTTCTGACACTCGGGCTTCTTCCTGCCAGGTCACAGCTGAGGGGACATGGGCCATCCCTCTCTCTCCTGAGGCCCAAAGAGTGGGTGGAGGCAGAGAATGCAGGAAAGGCAGTGCAGAACACCGAGGGCAGAAGCAGCAGCCACCGAAGAGGAGGGAGGGAAGGAAATAGTGGGATGCAGGGGTGTCCAACCTATTGGCGCCTCTGGGCCACCCTGGAAGAAGAGCTGTCTTGGGCCACACATTAAATACATTGTGACACGTAATCACAAAAAAAAAACTCATAATGTTTTAAGTAAATGTACAGCTTTGTGTTGGGCCACATTCACAGCCGTCCTGGGCTACGTGTGGCCTGTGGGCCGCAGGTCGGACACCCCGGCAGTGCCACTGCCCTCGGCATCACCCAAAGCTCTGAGCCTGGTTGATACCAAGTCCTGGTTTTGCGTATTTGTGTCAATAACTGATTCCTCGAAGAACAAGAAAGTGACCGATGATTTAAAGAAATAAGGGTGATATTGATAGAAAACAGTAATTGTTTTCCAATTGCAATAGCTCCTTGTCGTCAAGACCATTTCAGTTCCCAGCGCCTACCACCAGGGGGAGGTGGTGCCACATAAATGATTCTGAGTGCTTTGCGTTGAAGGTGTTCCTCTATTGCGCTTACTGTCTGAGTGACGGGACAGTGGGGCTCCTAAAATGACATGGGTTTTGTGACTGATGCTGGCAACTGACTTGCCACATGCCTCTGTTCTTGGGAGTAGCTGCCTGGGTGGGAGTACCCCCACCCCACAGTCAGGTGATCAGGTCTTAACAATACGTTCTAGGGACCAAGATGAAAGGGAGCCTGGGGAAGGCTCACAGTTCAACTAGGGAAAGATCTAAACCAGTATTTGTCAAGCTTTAATGCACATATAAATCCTGGTATCTTATTAAAACTTAGATTCTGATTCTGTTGTTCTAGGGTGGGGTTCTAGATTCTGTATTTTTAACAAGGTTCCAGATAATGCTGATGCTGATGATCCAAGGGCCAGACTGGACTGAAGAGATTTAAATTGTAATACAGTAATAAAAGGGTTATATCTGAGGTAAAAACAATGCTGTGGGAGAAGAGAGATGAGAAGTAACCGCTGGTGACGGTGCTTCATAGTGACATCTCAGTTAGGGTCTAGGCTAATTTTCCTAGGCGCTAGGAGAGGAGCACAGGGCACTCCACGCACAGGGGACAGTCTCTGCAAAGTTTGCTGTGTGCCAGGCGTTGTGCTTGTTGCTGAACACAAAATTCAAAGGGCGTAAGAGCATATTCATTGACAAGTTCTCCAGTTACTTAGTTCCCTTTCCTGGACTGGGGACAACCAATGTTCAATGTTTTGGGCATATCCTTCCAAAAACATTATCTGCCTATACAAATGCAATGCTGGGTACTTCTAAGATAGCCCGCAATGGTCCCTAACCATCTCATGCCTGTGTACATCTCTTCCCCTTCACTGCGGGCTGGACTCACAGGTTTGCTCAGGGAACAGAGGACCGCAGAAGCGGTGGGGTGTCACTTCCGAAACTAGTCTGAAAAAAGCTGCAGCCTCCATCCTGAGTGCTATCGCTCACTTGTTCACTTGCTCGCTCACCCTGGAGGAAGTCCGCTGTGGTGCTGGGGGCAGCCCTGTGCAGGCTCGCCAGAGACCCGAGCCTGCCAGCAACCACCCGAGTGAGCCTGGAAGCAGGACCCCTCCCCGTCCCCACCGGCTGAAACTTCAGGTGACCACAGCCCTTGCTAACAGCTTGATTACAACCTCACGAGGACCTACGCCAAAGGCAACCAGCTGGCTGTGCCCAGATCCCTGACCCACAGAAAGAGATAACAGATGTTTTAAGTCATGCAGTTTTGGGGTAACTTGTCTCATAGCAATTGATAACGAGTACAACAAGCAAATACGTTTTTGTGTATTCTCCATAATTTTATATCAATAGTAGAATATTGTATACTCAATTTTGTACCTGCTTAACTGTACTCAGTTTTTCCTACTTACTATATATCTTGGAGATCGTTTGTGTGAATACCTAACAAGCTACTTTAAGTTTTTCTAAACCCGTTGCAGGGCTTTCTGATGTGCAGGCATACCGCACTTGACTGAATGAGCCCCCTGCTGAAGGACGGGTGGGCTGTTTCCGAAGTCTTAGTGTCTGTTCGGTATCAGGAACCCTCCCTCTACTCCCATCCCTGCTCCGACGCTGTTTTTCAATGAGTTAATCCCATCCCATCACTCAGCCCCAAGAAAAAAAAATAAACCAACTTCTGTTGGTATTTTTATTGGACTTGTATTAAATTTAGAAACTAGGAAGAATTGTCATTGTTGGAGTCCTCCTAACACTCTTCCAGCTGTGCCAGTGGCTTTGGGTTGAGAGAGCAAATGTGAGTTCTTTTCTGTTTCCCTCAGGAAAATAGACTCTGTTTTCAGAACCTCATTCCCTATCAGTGAGACAATCCATTGGGATGAAATGAACTTAGGTTTTTTTCTTCCCGGTCTCTTCCCCATCCACATTTAGAAATCAACCTCAAGGTTCTTGCAGACAGAGGAGGGGTTTTTCAAAGCCAGTGGGTCCCGAGCCCCTGAAGAGAAGTACTTCTCTCCACCCGAGGGGAGTCCAGGCTTTATAGTGATTGTATTGGGTCCGACTTTAACCAGCATGACGGGTCAGGTACCACCTGAAACTTGTTCAAGCATAGGGTCGTTAATAATTCCTTCTCCTCATGAGAAGGTGGGAAAAGTGCACATTTGGAGAAGCAGGTTCAGGGATGAGGGGCAGGAGCTAGTGTGTTGATAAACAACTCGGGGAAAGCTTTCTGAATTGCACGTGACCCAGATCTGGATTCAAGTCTCAGTGCAAGGGATCTTGGGTAAGCCATCTCCCCTCTTAAGTTTCTGTTTCATCATCTGTGTAATGGACATGATATAGAAGGTCCAGCAGAAGGAACACTTGCTTGAGGGTGGTTGGTAGGGTACGTGAATGTCTTGCATGAGATGCACAGCAATTTGAACATGTCACCTAAAATGTCATATGGTGTGCTTGGGTGTGATATTGTTATGTTACAGAATTACATGCTTATGATGTTATAATAAAAAAGGGGGGGCGTTATTTGTGCCAGACCCCGTGTGTCCTCACAGGGTTGTAAGTTTTAAGTGAGAGGAAGTATGTGAAGGCTTTCGGTAAATTTATAAACATTTTAAGGGGTTGAAATTCACTTGAGATGTCTTAGTCACCTAAGTGCATAGCCCTGTGCCGTGAAACAAGTATGCTTTGAGAGCCGTAGTGTTTTCTGAGCGCCCATAGCTCGTCAGGGACATTGCCAGAACTTGCTCTGTTCTGGTGAAAGGGGTCCCTCCCTTACACCACTGTTTCCTCTCTGCCACAGAAGGCAAGGGCATCCCTCACGCCCACTCAGCTGTGACAAGAGTTGGGTTTCCTGAAGACCCAGCCCTTCACGGGACAGGAGTCCTCCAAACAACAGAGGCAAGTGCAGTGCTGCCCCCGTGTGGCGTGGCATTGGCGCACAGGCCTCCAGGGCTCAGCAGCTGCAGCCGTGCCGGTTACCTGCCCCCTGATCCCACCGCCAGGAGGGCTGGAGCGGAACCCTGGGGCCGCCTGCCCGAGTCTTACACTTTTGCCCTTTATGCGAGGGGCTGGGAGGAGAGAGCCAGGCCTTAAGGAATGATGGTGGGGGCGCTGCGCCTTCCGGGCACTCTTCCTCCTCCCCGTCATTCCTGGGAGGCTCCTTCTTGGCTTCTACAGAGCGAAGTCAAGTCATTTTTTTCTGATACTGGCACAGCATACTAGGACCCCAGCCCTGGAGAGTCTGACCCAGTATGTGTGGGGAGGGTCTGGGTATCCGCCTCCTTATCAAGTACCCCTCGTTTCTGTAAGGAGTAACTAATCCTGTGAAAAAGAAGCAACTCAGAGCGAGCTGGGTAGAATAGCTACAAAGATTGCCCTTCTCTGGGGAAGAAACTAGTCTTAAATAACTTCCTCGTTGCACCTCTTCTCTTTTTGTTGCTTCCAGCACCTACCTCATCTCAATTCCAACAAGCTCCGTTCCCCCCGCCCCTCCGTGCTGTCTGGAGTGGGGTAGTAATAACGTGGAATGCTGCCGCATCTGTGTTTGTGCATTCAGAGGCCTCCCTGCGTGCCCAGCACAGAGCGGATTACCGGCGACACAGAGATAACTAAGGGAAGCGCAGCTGAGGAGGTCAGGCAGCTACGTGAGCCCGTCGTGAGAAGTGCTTCCATAAAGGACGTGCGGGGCATGCAGTGGATGGAGGAGAGTGAGTCTTTCTGCGGGTTTTTGAGGGAGGCACAGAGGGGGAATGTAAAAGCAGATCTTCAGCAGCTTAATTTCAGCCAAAATCTTCCCTCTGGTCTCTAATAGAGTAAGTGACAGGGGAGGGCGTCAGCACGTGAGCTGGAGCAACCCCCTGTGCCCAGGCTCTCCCCTCCCGACCCAGGCGTGTGCAGTAGTACTTAATTTGCACGGAGAGCCCAGACTAATAAATCCTCTACTCAATTGCAATCCCCACAGCGCATTTATAGGCAGCAGCTGACTTTTATCAGCTAGTTTGTTCTTTCATATAAGAGTTTTATGAGGGTCTCCTGAGCTGGCTCATAACGTGATGAAACGTCTGCAAAACGCAACCATAAATCTGGCACCTGCCAAGTGGAGGATGCTGTTTTCCAGGCACATTTTGTCCAGCTGGTGGCTCTGTCCCTTTGCCCAGTTTGCATTTTTGCACTTGTCTCTTTAAACTTGGATTTGTTTTTTAGCTTTCTGTGGCCTCTTTAAAGCCAACTGAGAAATGAGGGGTAGGAAAAAGGAACTAGAAAGTTACGTCTGGGCTAAAAATTACCCCTGGCTTATGTTGCTCTTAAAGCTGGTTTTGATCCTTCTGGTGAAAGGGAGACATCAGGCTTCCCAGCCACACGAACCCCAGGGCCGGGGACTGAAGGACAGGGCCAGCTGAGCCCATTCTTAATAATTAAGTTCCTTTCTGGGCCGTCACCCTCAGTACTTGCCAAAGGCCAAGTATCCTAGGTTGTCAGTTTGGTAAATCAAAGAAACAGCCCCGGAGCTCCTTTCCGCAGATGGTCTCCAAGCAGGACATCTCTTCCCAGTATTTCGAGCTCCCCCAAGCAGGAGATGAAATTTAAATGCCCTTCCTCCTCCAAATAAAGCAAGACCTGTGCACTCTGAGGCTGCTGGTTGGCGGAGAGAGGCTGGTTTCGTGGGAAAGGGGTGAACGCCTCAGTGGAGTGTGCGGTCCAGTTAGGAAATGCTGGCTGATTGACCTATGTGTTTGCAGGTTCTCAGGAGACTACTAGGCCAGGAGACCCCTGTGGCTGCCCTTCATGGGGCCCCCTCCTTTCCTCACTTTCCCTAGACCCCACTTCAGGGCAGATTTATGGGCACATGATCTGTGCCTACAAGGGTCCCCAGCTTGGGTTAATGTCAGCTGTCACCCTCCTGAAACCCAACAGTTTTTGAGTTTTTGAACAAGCGGCTGGATTTTCATTTTGCATTGGATATTGCAAATTACGTTGCTGGTCTTGTTCCACTTTCCTCTGGTCCTGCTGCTAGTAGTTTCCTCAGAACTGTG